AAAGTCAAGTGAAGTACTCTTTTTTAGGAATGCAGGGAGTTTATTCCGTAGGCATGGGACAACGGATTGAAGCCAGCCTGACATCATTATGACATGTATCTCGATCCAAGTAGCCTCTGATACAGTATATATTACACATGTGCCTGTTTAGGGTCCGACATAAGGAGGTAACATGCTCAGACATTTTCATTTCCCTATTTTCTACACCCACTCACATTGACTCAATCTATATATTAAATAAACTATGCAGGGAAACAGAAATACACTGGTTAAACACAAGTCATATCTGCTTGTATCCTACATTACAAATACTACAGATGAGCATGGTCTGTACGTGTTAAGGTATAGCAACCTGATCTGTTGCTACAGTGACAGGAAACCAACTTTTATAAAGGAAGGAAATGTGCCAGGGTAAGAAGCGGTCGGTCGACCTTTCAATATTCTTTTTTTAACAAACATTTACAATTTATATCGGTGAAAAAAATTGAGAAGAATGTAGTTATATATAATTACACACATTGTGAAATACGTCAGTGACAGTTTTACTTTTAGTTAAGGCCTCCCATAAAAGATATGCCAATTACAGCGGCAGTGTATAAATGTGTACGCAGGTATTTCAAGTTTATATGAAGTTTATCTAAAATAATCATATATTTATATTAAAAGAAGTTGTATCACGAAATTGATGAGTACTAATAGGTTAAAATTTGCTAGACCTCTTGAGGGGGGGGGGGGGGGGATGCAACACCCCCGCGTGCCAAAAGGCCTCTGCCAAATGTACGTTTTGTATCCTATAGAGTATGGAAGTGCCCCGGGAAGTGCTAAAGTCATATTCGCCCGTCATCCAGGTTACTGTTTCTAAGCAACAGAGCCTGCGGATGAAGTTCACCGCGAAATCATTCAAGCAACCGGGTGGAGCAGGCCAAATACAGTGATTGGCACTCGTGTGATCACCACGCCAAAAAATATCACAAAATTGTTTGGAACCAACAACCTTGACAAGTTGGTCAGGATGACGTCACATTTCGGTACTCCATTATTATTTGTTTAATGTTTAATGTTTAATTATCTTCGTCCTTGTACTTTAATCAAGAAAGATGGGTGTGTGTGTTCGCCCTCTGCATCTCAGTAGGCCAGATGGCACACACGGGCCGCTAAAATGGTAAAATAAACCTAAAAAGGTGTTTTATTTCACATTTTATAGGTACTATGTCCCATTTGCAGGTCAAACAAATTGAAAAGATTACATTCCAACGGTATTTTAAAGAAAATAATAATTTAGAATTCCCCTAAAAAAGGGGGCTTGAAAAAGAATGTCTTTAAGTGGGAAATAACGAATATTAGTTGTAGAATCGACTTAACCCTAAAAAGGCCTGGCTATTTGAGGTCTTAGTACGGCCGAAGGGGGGCATTATGGGCCCCCATAAGATCTCGGCCGTGAAGCGGCCGATCTCCGCGAAAATTTGCACGCATGTCAAGTGAAGTGTATAGAATACTATGATATTTTCAATTTATTTTTTGAAAAATTCACTTATTTGCATATTTATGGTAATTTATGCAAATAAGGTCATACAAATCACATTTTTACCCATAAATCATATATTATTCATATTTAAGCATTTTTTTTTCACTACATCTATTCATTAGACAATTCTGAATAATAATTTTAATGTTATCTTTTGTTTTGATAATTTCTTATGTATTTCATTGTTTTTTTAACTTATGTATTTTATTGTTTTTGTTGTTTTATTTCATTTCTAACTACAATTCAACTATTTTGACTCCCAAAATAACCACCAAAACTTTAAATAAGACCCAATAACCCATGTTTGATCTATTTTTAGCCAAAATGACTTTTCCATACCGGTATGTTTTGTACACAAATCACGAAAATGAGCGATTTTCGGGCTGACATGCAAAGACAAAAGGCACGTGACCTATAGCAATACAGTAAGTAATAGTCTGATTTTCAGACCATTGTACCGAATGGTTGTACGTTTTGTGCTGCGCAAAGATTCAATCAATTTAATGTTGGCCTTTACAAGAAGAGGGTTATTGATATTTATTTATTTCTTCCACAATGTGGAAATATGCTTCCTATCAGCATTACAATAATACAAGAAACAGAGTTCAATAATATGAAACATGCGATTCAATAAGGCAAACGATTTCAAAACAGAAAAAAATCTTGTCCTTTCACAGAATAATTTTTATGACATCCAAAATTGTAAAACTTCTTTTCTGATTAGATGATTAAAAATATCTCTCCACTGCTTTTAACGGGCTATTCAATATAATCATCATTGATGTATTAAGCTTTATGAGAACAAATTATAAATTCAAATAATTATGATCATTATTGCTATTGTTATTATTATTCAACGCCATCATTATCCGTCAAAATGGATAGATAACTGCATATCATTGTGGTCGTATTAAAATCACATATCCATGTATGTGTACTAACAGTAGTGGGTAATAGTGGGGAACTGAAATGTTGAACTGCTATCGTTTATTATCTCTTTACGAATTGGTTGAACATGTGAATAGAGTTTGGTACGAAGGATTGGCGGAAGCGTGCTCGGTTTGTGCGCGGGACGTTTAGTCGAATTCCAGAACGGTCGAAAGAAACATTACATCAATACATTGATGTAAACAAATGCTCATGTACCCTGTATAGCTCATTTATGTATGTTATTACTAAAGAAGAAACAAAGCCAGTCAATCACTCAATAGTGTCTGACAGTGAAGTGTAGCAAGTAAACGGGTTTCCTTGCATAATTTGAATATTAGGACACTGCTAACGTTTAAATTTCACAGACAGGACATACTTGACATATTCATAATTCCTGCTAAGTTCTACAGAATTTGATGTTGGCTCCAAAAGGGACATAGTATCTTTAAGCTGGATATGAATAGGTAACACTCAAACTGCGATATGAATAATAATCTAGGAGTATTTTTGGAAATGTTCCGCCTCCTCTTAATACATGGCGATTTATATGTACATGAGTAAGTCTCTGTAATTTCAGAACATTTTTTGTCTTCTAACACATTAAATAAGAACCCCATGTCCAAGCAGTGTTTAACAAGTTTTTTCTGTTTTCATGTTCCAGTTGTTGTTGTTGTTGTTGTTGATTTTTGTTTTTTTGGGGGGTGTCTTGAATATTCATGTACTAAGCTCTAATACGTCCATTGTGGTTCATTTTAATAACAGATTCAGACTAGCTACTATTTAACTTCCCATTTAGCTTAGGCCCAATTGCGAATGCTATTGAAGATGACTCCCCTTATTCAGGACCGGAAGCCTAAATGTTGGTCTTTGTAGTCCGCTGGGATGTGCATGCTATTAAATCTATTATTGACTATTGTTTTTTTTTGTTTAGGTGACATCGTAGACCTGACATTAGTGACCAATCACCCCCTCCTGGATCCTCCAAACACACGTGATCAATATATCGGCGCCTACATAGGACATAAAGATGCAAGCATCAGAGACAGTATCACGTTTAACCGAATTATCCGGACCGTTGGTACTGCAAGTCTCCCAAACTATAGCAACATAGTAAACGAAGGTCAACGTATAAGAAAGCTTATCTTCGAACAGTCTTACCAAACCAAGGCAATAGGAGCATTCCGTGCAACTTTCGAATATGATGGAATCACACGTATGACTTCAACTGTTGTCTTAATGCAAAATGGTGAGAATACATATTTGTAAAATAGAGAGCTTTTAATACGTCGGTCACACCGCCAAACCGACCAGTTTGGGCCTCTGGAGGTAATATAACACGTTTGTTGGGTCTGTAGTCAGTCTCATATCGGTCTCGTTGGTGTGACTGAAGAATAATGCTTGTACAATGCTTTAGTTTCTTGGAATATATAACAGCATGCACTGTCAACTGGGAGCCACCATTTTTCGGAAAATAGTAAAACTCAGGAACCAGATTATCGACCTCTAATTTAGGAGATTCATGTAACTAGCTTCAATCTAAAGGAAAACACATTCTCCAAAACTGAAAAATAATATTAATATAATCTTAGAACTTTTAAAAACGAGATTAGGGTAAAAGCAATTTCATGTATAAACACTGTCCTATTTCTTGAATTTGTAAAGAAACAAATCTACTTATGTACTGTAAGAGAACACTGAAGAAAAACACATCAAAGGATAGAAAACATTTAGAATAATTAAAAAACATTTTCAAAATTGCATTTCCTGATCATTTTCCCCTCATTCCCTGACCTGATGTAATATAATAATGATACGGTCTTCCCTGTCTTCGGGTAGCCTCGTCAATTTTAATAATGTTCTTCACGAGGGCCTTCAATAATTCTCCCCCACTTCTGCCGGGTGACCCTGATAAGGCCCCTAAGCATTGGAGGATTTATTCCCACCGGGTACCTAATCATTTGATAGGGGGGAGTGGCAAATGTAGAGAAATGTATTGCCAAAGGAAAGTATTGCCGTGACAGATATTTGACTCCGTACCATGTACTTCAGCGACTTTACTGCTAGACCACGACACATTCGATACAATTATTGTCTCAACTGCGTCAAAATATGTACATATAAGCCTATTCATACATCCAAATGGATACCCCGTTTTGACTTTTACATTATTTTAATGATTTCTATACTTCCAGTACTAATACTTATGTGCTTATGATCGGGAAAAAGAACCCCATTCATATACGTAAAAGCTTATACAGATCATACAGTCGATCAGCGACTTTAGAAGTAGCCTATACAATAAATCTATTTATTTTGAAGAAATTTCCCCCAAAACTGCTTCTACAGTTTATAATTATTTTCTCTGGTATATTACTCCCATCATGCTCCCATTTACTATACAGCGACAGTCTTGCCTGAACGAACAACTTTGACTGTCCATGCCGGGGAAACTGTAACAATCGCTGTCGTCACCAACATGGCGGAAGGTGACCTCCGGTGGGAGTTTAATGGTGATAGGATATCTGACAATAATGGAAAGCAAAGTCTAACTTTGGAGAACGTACAACTAAACCAAACTGGTGTATACAAGTGTTTCGTATATGGAAAACGATGGGATGCAGAAAATGCAATATTCCTTCTTCATGTCATCAGTAAGTTAGTAGCATACATATCGTACATGTATCTTACATAATATCTTATTCCGGAGTACCTTTCATTTCCAACACGATCGTTGAACTTGCAACAAAAGTAATTATAATTCTACATGATTGCTGTCAGCGAAATATCAGTGAAATTAATCCGAAAGGTCCTAAAAATGTATCTATGTTCTGTTGATTTAAGCGTATTTTTACGGCTTTTCCCATACTAACATGGCAATTTTTGTATAGATTCCTTTCCCTTAACAAAAGATAGAAGCAATAATATCAGCATATTGAAAATTGAATACTGAAAATTGTTATATTTGTTTTATGTGGGGGAGGGGCAATTTACAGATAGAAAGTGAGAATGCAGGTATATGTCGATGCATATTGGCATATCGGTTATCTACCTCTGATATTGGTTAGATGCTGGATTCGTATCCACTTTGAAATACTAATACTGTTTACTTCAAACAGGATGCCCAGCTTATCGTTGGGGATCTGAATGTGAACATACCTGTAATGAGTGTCTCAATGGAGGCAAGTGCGATGCAGACTCAGGAGAGTGTGTATGTCCTCCTGGTTTCAACGGGACAACATGTGAACACGGTATGTTTTACACTTGTATGGGTCCTCTGCACTTCGATACACTGACATACACATACTTCTTGAACGAGGCGGGGGTGGGGGGGGGGGGGGGGGCACAGATGGAGGATGACACACAAAATTAAAAGGTCACATACTCAAACAAACATCAACACACACGCACACACACGTACACACACGCGCGCACGCGCATGAACACACTAGTGGTATAGGTTTAAAGTCTCGACCTTTAAAGCTAAAGACCAGTTATGGACATGCAATTGCATAGTGAAAGAAACGTTGTGAAATCGATCAGAAAAAAATGTACACAGAAAGATGTATATGGGACTACACACACGTGCGCGACACGTGCATTTGTATCTCTTAACAGGTCAGAGATATACTAATTTACCAAATATATCAATTAGTAGGCGGTTTCCCGTCAAAAATGTTATCGTCATGTAATATTCAAAACATATTCTTTCACATGATTGGTAATAAGAGCTTCTATTTCATTTTTTGAAATTGGGGCGTTTCCAATACTGGTCTTTACCTATAAGGTTCCTTGATGACCCCTTTTTTCGAAGTGGATGATTCACCCCCCCCCCCCCCCCCAGACTACCAATATGTTCAACAGCAGTCAAACGAAATGTCCAATTATATAATCTTTTAATTTACATCTTTTAATTGTCACATGTCTTGGATTTAGCTCAATATGTTTTTGATGTGAATAAAAACGATGATTTCATTTTTAAATACATGCTTGAAATAAAGTGCTATCTGCAATACTATATAATTTACGTACAATGATAACAAAACAACATAAGTATTCATTAAGAACCATCAGTCGATGAGCGGCAATTTCGTATATTTTGATCGTTCAATACCCATTACTCTTTTCAATATATAGCTATCACGCAAATCAAAAGCAATTCAACTCAATGTCAATACAGTATTACTAATTTGTTGCGTGAAGTCATTTGCAGCTCTATTTTGAAGGTGCTTAATTGTTCCTTATCTCTTTATCCTAAGTCCTGGGCAGCAACTGGTTTGGGCAGGATGGCAGCTTTTCTTGTGATTCCTCAGGAGATGATCACAGTCCAGGGTGTCGGGGTAAACTCTTCTGCCTACCAGACCCCTTTGGATGCACCTGTGCAGCAGGATTCATGGGAATCAATTGTACAACAGGTACTTATAATCATGTAAATCAAATTCTGGAATCTTCCATGAGCGAATGTGTATACTATAAAGAGAACTCCCAAATACATAATCTTAAAGGAAAATTTGATATAACATACGTGTGTAAATATGGATTACTCATAAATGTACATAAACATGTATACTACAACAGTTCTTCACATGTTTATTCCGGCAAACTCCAACGCTTGAAATATTAGATATTCTCTGGCGTAAGTGAAGGTAACGAGAAAAGAGATTAAAGAAACAAAATCAACCTTGTCGCAGCTTTAATTATTAGCCCCGGCAAAAACTGAATACGAAAGATATGAGTGACGAAGAAGGTATATCTATATTTGTAGAAATGAAAGGGTTAAACCATTTGATTCTCAAGACTGAAAGAGAGGCTGCCCATGTGCGGCCTTGCAACTCGTGTGATGAGAAGAAGTATTTGTCTACATAGAAATGCTTTTCAAATGACAATTAGTGTTCTGATCATGACATTTTAGCACGGTTCAATTTGTTCCACTTTTAATTGTTTGAAACCTGAACTTAAAATAAGCACAATTATATCCTGAAAAATGTAATTGGATAGTGTGTATCAAGGAACATGGTTACATGTAACCATGAAATAGGTACCTTTTTTTAGGTTGAAATAGATTTCATCATGGGATATACTCTGCCATTCGAAACATCAGTTTGATATCTTTTAACAAGTGGTGCTTGGGTTGAAAGTGAAGGTGTTTTAGTTTTCATTATTCTGTCATGATCGAAACCTCAATTTTGTTATCTCTTAACAAGTAGTGCTTTGGTTGAGAGTAAATGTGTTTTAGTTTTAGTATTATTCTGACATCATGAAACTGAAAACAAATATGTATATTCTTTTCCAAGGGATATTAATCCCTTTATTCGTGTTTCGAAAAGCGAAAATAAAATACAAGGAGTTACATAAATCTGTCCAACAAAATAATAATTTGTATAGCGCCGTCTATCTAGAAATTATATTTATTATCACCCAGGCTTTAGCCTAGATGCCATTACAGCGCTCCTGTCAGGTACCCATTTACATCACCTGAGTTGAGTGTGGCAAATGTAGATCAATGTCTTGCTAACCGCGGACCTTGTGATCGACAGTCCGGCGACGTATCCACTCGACCACAACACCTCTAAGGGCAGAAGGTTGCATTACTATTAAAGACAACATGCATGTACAAAATTTCTTTGCTTTAAAACCCATGTACTGTAAACTATATTGATTCTATGTAAATCCTTCTAGGCGACCCCGTATGAATTTAATAGGTTTTTTAAGGTCTATTCTACAATAAAATGTATAAACTTGCATATCAAAATACCTAGGTACTTTATTCGATGCTGTACTGAATTTAAGAGTTGATTTAAAAATGATTGAAATCGAGCTTTCTATAATTATCACTAGATTTATCTAATTATTAAAGACGTTCTAAAGCACTTGTGGGCGGGAGGAAATCGAAGAAAATACCCCGAATCAGCTGGACCAAATCTACCAAGCATTCAAAACGCACCCTAGATACCTCAATGAACCATTTATTTAGGATTTGTTTGAATTCATTCTCGAAATTCAATATCAAGGCAACAATTGCATTAATGTATATTGGGTTCTTGGTCCTGCTCCTCAATGTGAAATTGTGATGTTTAAATAGTACATTTGGCCTACCAAATAATGATGTTCCTTATGTTCTATTACTTATCAATTCCCATGATTTTGTTAAAGAATGTAAGCCAGGAACGTATGGAGCCAATTGTTTGCAACTGTGCCACTGTTCTCCAAGTAACACCTGTGCCAAGGGTACAGGAGAATGCATTGATGGGACTGCATGTCAAGAAGGATGGACTGGTGTCAACTGTCAAGGTGATTTTTTTCTCGAACGTTCAGTTTACATAGTTAAGTTTTTTTTAATGAATTTATCTTAAATGTATTCAATATACTATATTATCACAAAATAAACACATCACGATTTAAGAGCCGCAATCATTTTATTATACTTGTCAAAGCAAAACGATTTTTTTTTAAACAGATTACTAGTTTTTAGCTCATTCGTGGCTATAATAATTTACTTGTTTATTATCATTATCCTTTTTGTGACAACTCAAGCTACTACCAGTGCTACCAACCCTGTCAGCACTACCGTCCCTCCACAGACTGTTCCTTATTACGCCATAGCGAGCTTCTACTACACCAAGGTTAACAATGGCGAACCTACAACATTGGTTTGTGTCGTGACAGGATCCCCTCCACCGACCTCCGAAAACATCATCGTCACCGATGCAGCCGGTGCAGATGAAGGGATTATCCTTCTGGGGACCAATGTCACTGAATCAACCAGGACATCCTGGTACCGGGTTATGGTGAATCTGGATGAGGTACCTCAGAATTTCATGTGTCTTTTGCGCATACCGGACAGGGAAAGTGTCTCGAAAGATCTGGCTGTCTCTGTTTATGGTAAGTAATTCTGAACCTCAATAGCATTTTGTTGTGCTACGATTAACCGAAAAGAGCTATAAGCGTCCTTTGTCAACAATCACTGTTAGTAGTATGATAATTTGTAACTTTGTTTGTATTGTCTTATCTGTCTATAAAAGGGTTTCCATGTGTTATTATGAAAGGTTTCGATAGTCAATTTTGGGGAATATTTTTTTTAAACCTCATTTGTGAAGGTCGTGGGCTCGATCGCAGGTACAGCACCGACGTAAAGCGAAACATGACTCTTACCACTCTGTATCCATTGAAGAAATAAATATGGACCTAGTGAAATGACGAAAGACATGTTACCACTAATTGAAAATTCCCTTCCTTATGCTCACGCTCACCATTGTCTGGAATTTTGTCCAGGGAGCAGAGATAGAGCACATATTGTGTTCTTTTAATGTTCCAGATGACGGGGAATATGTGTGAAACGTTTAGTGACGTTATTTTGTATCAATCGATATATATCCAGATATTCAGTAACATATTGCAACGCGATAGGTGGAAAATAGGCAAGATAATTCCATTATTTAAGAAGGGAGATAAAGCTAATCCTGATCATTATAGACCGATTTCTCTTTTACCTTGTGTGTCGAAGCTTTTAGAAAGAGTTGTGCAGCGGCAACTCACCCGTTTCTTGTCGAACAATAATTTGTTGGCCAAACAACAATCGGGGTTTAGGTCTAATCATTCGACGACCACTTCACTTATAAAAGTTACGGATGATTGGCTCATGTCACTGGACAAAGGCGTGTACACAGGCAATGTTTTTGTTGATCTTCAAAAGGCTTTCGACTTAGTAGACCACGGAATTCTTCTGGCAAAATTAACCTCTGGTGTTGGTCTACAGGGTTCATCTTTGAATTGGTTTAGAAGCTATTACCCAGGGGGCAAGACAGGTTCTTGAGACATGGAATGTTGTAAAAGGTTGTTGGGTATCAACCTGTTCAGAGGAACTCCCTTAACAATTTCTAGGTGGACTACCTTTACAATTTTTTGCCGGAAAAAAATGGCGGCCATTTTTTCAAAATGGCCGCCATGAAAAACTCATTTTGAACAATCTGACGATAATTTTGTAATAGAACCTCATTTTACCTTGTGTGTGGTATCATATGAAAGGGAATTAGATTTCCTACAAGATAATACCTCATTCAATAAGTTTTGGGATGATTTGCATACCAATTTTGAGCCAAAAATGTGAATTTTTACCATTTTTTTCAAAAATATGAATTGCGCCAAAATACATATTTCTCCATATTTATTTGATTATGATGCTGACTGACTTGAAACTTGCTTAAAAACTGTTCAGTACCCTGGTTGATATCATATCCACATTTCAAGTCTATTACTTTTCTAACTAAAAAGTTATAGCGCTCTAAAGTTGACACCTTGTTATGAGCCAAAATGGCAAATTTGGTTGCTAAGGGCTATCTTCTCCTTAGCAACGGTAACATAGTGGCTGAAAAATAGAATATATCACAAGAAATTGCTATCACCAAGCAGATGACTACTTTGATAGGAAGTATGATGTCAAATGATGCATTTTCATCATATTCTAATGATAAATATCGCTTAGTTCCCGTTGCTATGGTAATAATATGCCTAGCAACCGATATATAATGTGTTTTCATAGTCAAATTAGGATATGGGTCAAATAATACGTAAAGTCAGAGCTGTTCCAAGTGACAGACATAATTTGCCATCTTAAACATGTTCATAGTGCATGGTGTAGTTCAGAACTTTCACCCTTCCCCCTCCTTCCGCTGAAATGCCCCCCCCCCCCCCCTGCCATCAAAAGTAATTTTGGGGTGGGGCAGTATGTTGTTAAGGACATGATGGGTGTTCAGAAATGACGCAGGCTACTCTGTCAAGTAAAAATGAGTTCTGGATCCAGGTGATAATCATGAATTTTAGTCTGAATCATGAAGACAATGGATGGAGGGGTTCAGAATGTGCACCCTCCTTCTCCTCTAGAACACAATTTGAGCAATTTGTCCAAAGCTGTATGCATTACATTGCAATCGAAAAATTGGTCCATTTTTTTTTCTCCAAGAAATCTCCACAATGCATTTCAAATATAATGGTTAAAAACTTAAAATTGCATGAGAAGTTTGTCAATGTCTTCCTACCCCACTCCCCCCCCCCCCTGCCCCTATTAACCTGCTAAGTGTAAGATGATTAGAGACATGGATTCAAATGATAGACTGGTATCATTCTCTAAAAAATTGATTCTTAAGGAATCAAATCAAATGATGAGTTGGAGTGGGGCAGGGGGTGCAGCTCCCCTGCCCATTTTGGATGTATCCATTTATTGGGCAATCGTCACCTCTTATCCAGGCAGCAATGGGCTAGAATAACGACATTTACGAGTATGAGGCTAGTTGCTGGAATGCATCTTATCTGGTGTATTTTGATGACGAAATGACTTATTTACCGTAACTAGGTGTACTTTTTAAATGTTTGCAATTTGGAATTACATCACAATGGGCAAAAGGAGTCTTGTCAAATTATTTAAATATTTATAAGGGATTATAAATGCCAATGCCCAACTCTTTTTGTGTGTCTCAGAGTCCCTCCACTCTCCTTATAGACTTTGGCCGAAATTAGATTTTACAAATATTGCCTTCTGCAAGAAACCAATATACGTCATTAGTGAAAATACATGAGTCCAGTAAATGTTCATCATTAAGAGTTATGATTTATCCAGTTTGATCAAAAGCCTTCCAACCAATTACAAACCTATAGATTTCTATCTGTTTGGTACGCAGTGGCATCTCTATGGGGGTAGTAGCCTATAATCTAGGCGGAGTGCCGAGCTTTTTTCTTTGCTGCTAGACTAACCTTAAGCAGAACGTCTGATACGGCGAGACTACGAACCGTGAGCCGCGAAGCGGCTCACCGCCTATAATCACTGGTCTAGCTTTAGTCGTTTTTTTTATATTATCGACCATGAATCCGTGGCAGTTTTTCGTACGAAAAAACCTCATGAGCTAGACCAGTGATTATAGGCGGTGAGCCGCTTCGCGACTCACGGTTCGTAGTCTCGCCGTATCAGACGTTCTGCTTAGGGTTAGTCTAGCAGCAAAGAAAAAAGCTCGGCACTCCGCCTAGATTATAGGCTATGGGGGTAGGGGCACAATCATTTAAAGAGAGCACAAAAAGGAGGGACACAAATCGTAAAAGAGAGAAGAAGAAAAGGGGAGAAAAGAAGAAAAGAAGACAACTTTTGATCCTATTGAATAAATGCGCCTCAAGATGCGAGGCTAAATGCATTAGTAATATAATTTTGTTAAAGCTAGGTCGCAGCTCGCATTAGTAGGTTGCACGGGATCTCCTAATTTTGCACACAAATATAGATATAGTTTATAATTAGCATTTTTTTTAAATAGCTCCAAATTTGACACAGAAATGTAATTCCCCTTGCTTTGCCGTCTCTCATAAGTTTCACCAGCTTCTTGTGAGATATTGCACCCTTAATAACTGAATTTTTACAATGTGATTCAATTTTCTCAAAAGAAAATCATCTTCCAACCTTTGAAGAAAACTTCAACTCTTGAACAAATCTTATCTTTGGGATACCTTGCTATATATTCATTGACCGACGTGTTCGTTAATTTTGTTCACCATTTAAGTAGAAATGAATAGAAATCCCCTTTTCTATGATTAAAATACGAAACTATACATAGACCTACAACTCGATCGCTTCCCAACATACAGAGTTGTGAATTGATTTCAAGATATTCAAGATAACGTTGGTTTGGACAAGGAGTATTAGGCTCTTTAGTTGGATATATCACAACAAAGACGGGGCCCAGAATTCAAAAGATAGATGTGATTTAAGCACAATACCTAATTGAGATATACTAGACGGTTTGGGTTCAGAATTTGTACCCCACCCCTCTTTTTTCTTCTTTAGAATGAAAGACATCAATTGCAGATACTAGATGATAGCATCCTCTGCTGCTACCTGGTCTACAATTTCTCTTCCATGGTTCCACCTTCACTTTATTGTGGTTTTGGGCCATTTAGCAGCTTGTCGTAGGCAGTTGTGAGGGAGATCCCAGATGTAATTTTCTCATTGATTTCCCTCTTCGATTTGTCACAATGTGTTTGCACAAATCTTTGGTTCCTGTAAGAGTGTGTGGAGTTTGATATTATCTCCTCCATAAGCCACTCCAGCTACTTCAGGGAATCATTGGTGCTGTGGATGCAATCGGTGCATATTTACTTATAAATCTTGAACCACGTCTCTGATCTAGGACTGAAATACTCTGGAACTCCCGTTTAAGTGTATATTCGTCCGGTATTAATCTGTCATATCTACACCAAGTTCTTTAACAATTTTCTTGGTACATGTACCTGTTATGAAGTGATTCAACTAGCGATCATAGCAGGTCAAAGATGGGAGGAGCTTAATCCAGCTCATCCAAAAGCCGACTGAATGCAACATCATTATGATCATAAAGGTTCAATTTCAACAAATCAAAAGGAATACTCAAGGACTTTGAGTTATTAATAAAGGATTTATATGTTATGTTTTATCATTACATACCAAATTATAACCTCACCAAATTAAGCGAAACTAATTAAATGACATCTCAGCTAAGCCTCCTCGCTATTTCCTCATTTGATTTTTAAAAACTTGTTTTTGTTTGCATAACTTGCACATTGGCCCCTTTCCCCTTATAAGCCCCTGATTATTACAAATCTCTTAAATCGTTTAGACCCTGTCTGTCTGATGAATCCAAATCTCATGTTATTTCACTAATGACTTTACCTGGTTTCTTGTCCCTCAACAAATTAATCAATCACTCAATCGTGACAAAGAAAGGTAGATACTTATAGAAATCGACTTTTGTCAAACTTTAGAGAAAGAGGGAAATGAAGCAGGAAGGAT